GAATAGCATGACTGGTAATTGAAGAAAAGCAAAATAAAGTTAGGTAACATTTTTTTCACCCAACAGGTTGAAGGCAATAGGCACCCCAGCTGTCGCTGAGGAGGTGGGGAAATGGCGGGCAAGTGGGCACCTTCACACAGTTTAGCTGGACAAGCAAGTCATTACAACCTGCCGGGACAGCATGTTGGCACTCTGGATCAAAACGCATTAAAATGTGGCTGGGATTGTCCCTGTCTCCTAATATCTATTATCCCCTTCCCACACATGTCTATACATACAGACGTCTAGGTACATGTATTTATATAAATTTCTTTTCTAACTAGGTCCCTAACCACGTAAAATAAAGATGTCCTTACAGCTGCATGAGACCCTGAGACTCAGTTCTGGCCAATGAAATATAAAAGGAAATGGAAAGTGATCCCTCCTTTTTCCAGTTTCCTCCTTCTCCCACTTACTCCATTCATTGACTGATGTGCAGAGGTCATGAATGGCATATCATTAAGAGCCATTTCAGTGGTCACCTGCTGCCTCTATTATACATAAACATGAAATGAGAGCCTCCGTCCAGGACAAGTTCCATGCGAATCTACGTGGAGAACCAACTCCAGGAGCTCTGGCCATGAACTTAGAAAATTTAGAATCATCAGTATCTTTTTCCCTGGAACCCTGTAAGTCTTGACCAGGAGGAACACTGACTAGGCTCCCTTGCTCAGTTTCCAGAAGGTAAAGCGACACACAGTGTTGGCAACTGTTCTGAAGATGCCCCAGACTCGCCCGGAAGATCTGTGCTCACAGCTCTGGCCGACGTGGACATAACCACTGTGTGTTTGTGATTAATCACTTAACTTTCATAAAGTTCTTTGTCATCAGAAACCTTTAAAAAATCCAATGTCAAAAGAAGAAAACCTGCCAATTAATTTTAGGCACTTTTAAAAAGAGGAACAGAAACATAGAAAACGCAGAACTGAATTTGTGAATATAATCAAATGTCCTGGCTTTGCTTTTCAAAGGCAAAATTATCTAGTAATTTTCTTTTAAATCTCTGAAGTCACATAACCAAAATGCAGCTGAGAAATTCTTGACAAAATATGGCCTGGACAGCAGCTGGATAATCTTGATTACTAACTGCTTGGCCACTTTCATTTCTTTTATCCAGGTGAAAAGTCTCATTCTTCATTCACAACATATACCAGCATCATCCTCTACCATCAACCACCAATTGAACAGACTGGAAAAGTTAATTCATTTCTCAGATCCTCAGTTTCCTCATCTGTAAGATGGGCATACTTATATCTGTCTCATAATGATGTTTTAAGAATTTAATCAGGGCCAAATGTGGCGGCTCAAGCCTATGATCCTAGCACTCTGGGAGGCCAACGCGGGTGGATCACTTAATCTCAGGAGATTGAGACCAGCTTGAACTCAGGAGTTTAAGACCAGTCTCAGCAAAAGCAAGATCCCATCTCTACTAAAAAACAGAAAAACTAGCCGGGTATCTAGGCAGGCACCTGCAATCTTAGCTACTTGGGAGACTGAGACAAGAAAGAAGATCTCTTAAGCCCAAGAGTTTGAGGTTGCTGTGAACTATGATGCCACAGCATTCTACCCAGGATGAAAGAATGAGACTCTGTCTCAAAAGAAAAAAATTTTAAATTTAACAAAAAGAATCCAACCAGATAATGCATGTGTTTGGTAAACACCAAATGCTCAATTAGTTAACTATTACTTTGTTGTTGTCTTAAATACATTAAAAAGATACTAAGACTTCAAAACTCTGTGAGCACAGGAAGTATATCTGGCTCACATATGCCTGTAATCCCTAGGGCCCAGCTCACTGGATTGTAGCTACCCTACATGTTTAATTTGGTTGAAGTGAATCCACTGCGTTGAATCTGATTTTTCCTATGAAGAAGGGGAGGAAATGACTTGCTATATAGAAACAAAGGTTTCCTTCACATGGACAAGTAGAAGAGAATCCCGCTTTCCTCCCAAGAACAAGTAAAACTAAGCTATGTCTAACCACCCTCCTGGTGGCATCTGCAAGTTGTCCTCATCAGTCTGAGAAGGGCATTATTCCAGAGACCTCTTCAGTAAAGAGGCCAGGTATTCCTTGAGGCCACTTAACTCTCTTTCCCCAACCACCGCGGACTCTCAAATGGAAGCCAACTCTCCGGAAATGTCTTTGGTTGCCTGAAGAATATGATTCTTGTACATTAATGTCCTTGGCAATTTTCTGATGAAGGGCTGTATTTAATATCTGTGAAGTGTTCTAACTTCTGCAGGTGGGAGGGGCTAGGGGAAGATAAGAACCACAAGTACATGTCCCTAACAGGTGAGAGCTGGGACAGATGGCCAGGACCCCACAGGAAACCTCAGAATGCTGTGGAAGGAGGGTGGGACAGTCCTGGATCAAGTCCCTGAAATGGGTGTGTGCAGTGCCATCTGTTTGAGGGCAGGATGAACAGGGGTGGGGAGGGATGGGTGGATGGGACTTGTTCTCCTAAAGGAGCTACCTCTGCTCCCTAAAAAATAACTTGTTTCAACTACAGATGTCTGCATGAGGTCATCTTCTTTTGCCTTCCAGGTTAACTAACTACTAAGAAAGTAAACTAAAATGATTACCAATTCCTGTGTTTCCATTTCTTTTGGTAACTGGAAACTGATAAACAGGATCACTGTGTTACCTGCATGGCAGCAAACTTGGTTGGAAAAGAGATTACAGTATCATAGCCGGGGAAGAGAATCACGTGTTCTTTCTTCCTTCTCCATCCACAAGGGTGCCACCCAGTGCCAGCTGCGGAGTCACTAGGAGGCATCCCCAAGAACAAGGAAGTGAGAGAAGAGCAACTGTCTCGAGGGTTAAGCAATGATATCAAGACCTCGGAGTGGAAGATGTGAGAGAGTTCAGGAGGCCAGACGGCTCCCAGGCCGGTGACACTGCACGGGAGCTGAGTAAATATAGTAAAATGTCTGAAAGAAGAATGTTTCTGTCCCAGGTGTAGTTGGTCGGCCAAGAGGCTTAATAAAAAAGGAGAATTTTAGAAGCAAATGCTAGATGAGCAGGGGTGGGGAGGGGTGGGGGATGCCCATCGGGGGACACCTTACAAGCTGTCTAGTGGGAGAGAAACCTTATCTTTACCCAGTAATTTCAGGCATGACAGTGCTAGTGAGACCACTACCTTTCTCAGAAAGGGCTACACTATTGAATTAAAAAACAGGTGTATTGAACCATGGAAGACAGGTGCCAGGGAACACTGAACCCCCCAAATGAGCTTGCTTGGATCCACATTACCAGCTTGCCAGGCCTTCAAGGAGAGAAGGTATCACCAGAAGAAAAAGGCTCGATCACCTCGCCAAACTTTGTGTTACACCATGAAATGACATCCTGGTTTCACATATAAGTCCTTTGACCTGGGTTAATAGAAGTGCATCCTGAGATACAGATGGACTTTCCCCGTGTAGTGACGACTGTGCTTGTAAGGTTAAACCCAGGTAAAGGCACCCAAGGAGGTCACCCAAGGCCTCAGGGAAGTGGCCACCCCCAACCCTGTGTATTCTATGCTGCTTTCTTTTGAAAATGTCCCATCGACCTGGGCCATGGACATCCATTCATGATTACTCTCTGAGACACTTGATTATAAACATGTAATTTTTCATCAAAGACATGCAAATTAAGAACAAAATGAGCAAAGGAAAACTGGCACAGGGTATAACCAAAAAACCATTCTCAATTACTGCTAGTGGGTATATAAATTGGAAACACACCAAAAGTCTTAGAAATATGTATACCTCTGACCCAACAATTAAGGGAACTTTATGCTTGCTTAATGAAAGATAGGAACAATTATTTAACCACTATGATGTATTTTAGAGTAGTTCACAATAGTTAAAACTTGGAAATGGTGCAAATATTCAACAGTTGAGATTAGTTAAATGAATATCTTTGATGTAGTCATACACTGACATTTGTGCTATGTTATGGAAATACATTTACTGACCAAGAAAGACATTTACAAGGTATTTTTGTTTTCTTCTCTTTGTTTAATTACAAAATCTAATTTTTTCTAGCCTAGGTAGTCCTGGTTCTAAATCAAGATAAGAGAGCTGTCCCTGTCTTCCTTCAAGGTTGGAAGGAAGAGGAGGCACATGTTCATTATCCAAGCTCTCTCTCGGAGACGGAAAAGGAGCCTCAAAGAGGCATAAGTGGTTTATCTGAGGACAGGTGAGTGAACAGTCATACCACTCATTTCTGCAAATCTTAAGCCCAGACTTGTCCCATCATTCCTGGTGCCTCCATGGTGTCTTAACTTAGAAAGCAGAAGAGTGTGTGTTGAGACAGAATACTTGAACAAAACAGTTTCTAATCTAAGAGACCTGCGCATCAATTGCAAACCACATCTCACATGGTATTCTAGAATTTCCAAAGAGTGTCATAGGGTACCAAACTTGCTCTTAACATCTCAGATGGAACTGGTGAGATGAAGAGAAAAAAATGGCAATGAAAAGAAGTTCTACTTTGTGACACAGACTTGTCATTTTTTAATGTGGAAAGTCCTCTACTTCTAATAAGCCTCATAATTCTATGCACCACAGAAGAACTTGCTGGCCTCTCAGAAGTCGACTCGGTCTGCTGTGGGAGAGTTAGGTCTCTGTTCTCATCCCTGATCTACGTCCAGTGACCCATTTCTATGACCTCCTGACCAATTTCCAACGAGACATTTATCGAAGAATTGCAGTTAACATTGCCGCATCGGGCCTTGAACCATCTTTCCGTACCAGCGGTTTTCTTCTCAAGCAACATTCATTTGGAGACTTTTGATGGGACAGGGCACAGAGTTAGGGCCTCCCTGCTCACAGAAGTCGGGAAAGTAGCAGCCAAGAGTAAAAGGGAATATTCTAGAACACCCGTCCCCCCAGGCCTCCATCTCAGTTAGCTTAACAAAAGCAAACCAGTACTAAGCAAAACAAGTGAACCCCCAAAGGGCGAAAGTCTTACTTACGGACACACATCTCCCCACTTTCATAAAACCCAGGACAACACTGGGACTTGCGCCTGTACATGGTTTTCTCCCCATGCCGATATGCGGTCCGGTAGCTGATTCTATAGAGAGGGAAAAATCACACTGTTAGTTCTTTGGCTGATAATTTGATTATGAATAATTTCTATTTAAATAAAAATAGCTATTAAACATAACAAAGGTATGAAAAGCAAAGTACTTCAATGTAATTAAGAAGAAACACAGAATATATGGCTTGACTGCTATTACGCCAACTTACCGATTTGCTAAGAATATGTTAATATTCTCTAAGCCAACCAATATGTTAAAGGATCAATAGTTTCATGATTTCCCTATTTCACTTATCTTAAAATACGCTCAAATGTATTATGTGATACCCATCTAAGCGTCATTCGCTTACAGGTGCTTTAAGGAAAATTCAAAATATTCCTTTAAAAATATCTCTTAGGTGGAGCACAGAGGCTCATGCCTATAATCCTGGCACTTTGGGAGGCCGAGGTAGATGGATTGCATGAGCTCAGGAACTCTAGACCAGCCTGAGTATGAGCGAGACCCTGTCTCTACTAAAACAGAAAAAAAGAAAAACAACTAGCCAAGTGTTGTGGCAAGCACCTATAGTTCCAGCTACTTGGGAGGTTGAGACAAAAGAATCACTTGAGCCCAGGAGTTTGAAGCTATTGTGGGCTATGATGCCATGGCACTCTACCCAGGTCAACAGAGTAAGACTCTGTCTCAGAAATAAATAAATAAATAAGTAAATAATCTCAGTGCAGCTTCATCCCACTATAATATAGAAAGGTAGCAGACAAAAGACCTTTCCATTTAACTAAAGCATCATTCATCCACCAATTCACTTATATAATGTGTGCTTATTAAGCACTTACTACATTCCAGGCACTGTTCTAGGCATTAGGGAACCAGCAGTGAGCCAAACAATATAAAGCCTTTGCTCTCAAGGAACTTAACACTTTACTGGGAAAGACGGATCTGGTGGAATTGGTTTAAGGACACATGTTAAACAAATAATTAGATCATACATACAATGTCAGGTAATGATTAAGTATATGAAGAAAAATAAAGCCTGAGTAGGGAATAGAATGTTACAGGAAAGAAATGCTCATTTACATAGAAGGTGGTGCCTGGGGCTCAAACCTCCCATATACCAGAGGTTCAAACGTGGCCCCCAACCCCCCCCAAAAAAATACCTCATTCACATAAAGTAGTCAAGGACAGCTGAGTGAAGAAATGACGTCAAGCATTACATCATTTGGCGCAGTACAAACCAGTAGATGCCACCCTCAACCCCTAACTCCTACCACTAAAATATTAACATGAATATTTAATTATATTTTCGTTTTGGAGCTCCAGTGGCACAATTGGTTAGCGCATGGTACTTATAATTATATTTTGGGTTTGTTTCTGTGTTCAGAATAAGCCAGAAAAAATAGCTGGCTTATTTTACTTAAGGGTCAAATTTAAGTTAACCTAAATGGAGTCAAATGTTCAATTAGAAAAATGCTGAGAAACGAGTTTCTTGCTATCTGCTGATGTCCACACAGAACAGTCTTCTCCAATTTCATACAACACAGGAGCGGGATGAACTTCTGCTAACCAAATGACGGCCAACAGCAGGCATTTTCTTTATAGTTAGAGTCCAAGCTCCTTCAGGGCATGGACTACCTTTCTGCTTTAATAATACATCCCTGGCAACCGGGAACAAGGCTGGAACAACAGGCAAGCCCTCCGTACCTGTTCACTGAATGAACGGGTGCTGGAATTAACATCTCTGACTGCATCAGACTCTCTGCCCACTTAGCTAAACTCACAAACGTGTCTGAGCTTTTCTTACCTGTGCCGCGTGCATTTAAACCAGTTTAGAATGTCAGTGCAGCTCGTGTAGTAAATTTGATCAAAGGGATGTGGGTAGGACTCTTGCACGGTCACCGAGTAGCTGAAAAGAAATAGAAAAATAAGGAATCAGCATTTCTCTTTTTATAATAGTAATTACAATGTACTAACAAAAAAACCCTGCAGGCTAGATTATCTCCAGTTGCAAGTCCATAGTAACCTTCAACAAAATTCTTTGTTGAAGCATGGTCTATGTTTTACAGGTTGTTATTTAAACTAGAATCCCAAAAGGACCAATATTAACAACATATATGTATTTGAAAGACAAGGATTTACACTGTAAATTTCAAAGCAAATCTCTTCTAATATTCACTATAACCTCTAATATTCCCCCAATTTAAAAAGATATCACTCTATATTTTTCTGCAGCTAATCCCCTCCGCTCATCTCAGGGCTCCAGGGATAACAAAGATCTTTCACAAAAGTTTTCATTCTAAGTCTGCAGGCAAATAATAAGGTTAATCAGCAAAGAGGCCGTTCAAGTAATTATAACAGAGTAAATTTTGCCATTGAAAAATCAGAATGTATTTCTCTGGTTGGAACACGGAACAATTTTCTTTTAGACAATGGAAGAATGTACAGCATACAGTGTCTAAATAAAAACTACAAAGAAGTCTTTAAACCCAGTTCTAAACATGTGGCTGAGACAATTAGTCTGAAGTAATCAAACCAACAGCTTAGTGCTACCTCGTCAGTTTTCCAATTCATTTTCACTAACAGCTTCTTGCTAGAGGAAAAACATGCACTCCTATGGGCCCAAGAATATAAGTGAAAAATATCCATGAAATATAAAGAATATTCAATTCCATACTTTCAAATTTTAAACAGTGTATTACATGCCCAAGAGCTCGGTGTCTGCCTACAAGAAAATCTGGAGAATCATCTACTGCAAACAATCTCCTGTTTGCTGTTAAGGCTCTTAAAGATTTCCATTAAAATCTTCCATTCACACTAAAACAAAATGGGCCATAATCATCGGCTCACTCACTGCAAATCAATAGCCCAAGTTCACTAAGAGGAACTATTAAGTTGAGAAGGCACAAAAGAAATCAAGGTTGAAATCAGGTTAGACAGAATCTTCTGGTTGAAAAGCTGCGTGGTGCCAGCTTCACGCATGATGGTCTTTCTTTCTGCAGCTGGTCATTATGTAGTTAGGGTTCAACAGGACATCCGTGAAGCAAGCATACTAGTCAGATGCTTGTGTATTTTATCCTTTGGTGTATTACAATTTGACTTCTACGTGAATTTAGGGGTCCTCCATAAACATTAGGCAGATGGATATCACTGCTTTAGAACACAGGGTTATAATCCTGATCTGACACAGAGAAACTGGGTGATTTTCAGCATATGACAATCACTTCCCTGGGTCTTGATTATCACATTTTAAAATAAGAGAGTTAGAGATGGTGTTTTAAAGACCCACTCCCATTTAGTATCCCAGATTTCTAACATACATTTTAGGTGACTCTTTCTTTTCACCTCAATAAACAATACCTGTTGCTACCTACAAAAACAGGTACAGACGAGGGTCAAGCGTGCAACTGGCTATGTGCAATGATAGAACTCCTTTGGGATAAAACAAGAGGCCACTGCTAAAATACTACAGTTCCTGGAATGATATATCACATTAAGCTATTCCTATTAATATTTTCTCCAGACCCCTAGCAATGTCCTGAGATTCAGGTTGGTGCAAAGTCTAAGGCTTCCTGACCAATACGTTTTCCTCCCTGCCCAGCAGCTGGTAAATAACTGAATCTTGAGGCATTACCCCTCTGTTCCATTTCTACAGGCAAGCAAAGCAAATGAATGTCCTCTGTGTACAGAACTTCGATATAGGGACCGTCCTTCATCACCTACAAACAAAATAGAGCAACTTCCCACATGAGCTATAGAAATGAAAAAGAAACCACTCTAAATTAAAGCCAGTTGGGAGAAAAAACTTATTCCACCAGCCTCCACAGTACTAATTTAGCTGAACTAAATTAGTTTGCTGGAACTCTTCCTGATACAGAGTTCCCAGAAAATTTCAAAGGCCATGTTATCCCTCGGAGAGCAAAAGCCATCATCAACAAATGGATCCTGGCCAATTCTATTTGATGTGGGTGGGGGACTGAACCCATAAATAAACACAAAAAAACCCTTTCACCAGTTTCTAGCAACCCAGAAGATTCCTCAAAGAAGAAGAAATGTTCAAGAAACGATTTCCCCTTTTTGCCGCTTGCTGTTCACCAACACCATCCATTTGCAGGATGCCTCTCTGGTTTTAGGATATAAAAACTCTCTTCCCTGTAAAGGGATAACCAGGCTGGGTGTGGTGGCTCAGGCCTGTAATCCTAGCACTCTGGAAGGCCAACAGTGGAGAATCAGAGAGGATCACTGGAGTTTAGGAGAGCAGCCTAAGCAAGAGCACAACCCCATCTATAGTAAAAATAGGAAAAAATGAGCTGGGCATTGTGACAGGTGCCTGTAGTCTCAGATACTTGGAAGGCTAGGGCAGGAGCATCACTTGAATCCTGGAGTTTGATTTTGCTCTGAGCTAAGCTGATGCCATGGCATTCTACCTGGGCAACAGAATGAGATTCTGTCTTAAAGATAGATAGATAGATAGATATTCAGAATATTTAGAATTCCAATATAGCAAACATTTATTCAGCTATTTCTATGCACAGCCTGCCATCAAGGAGCTCTCCATCTAATGAGAGAAAGGTCAGCACCTGCATGCTACCTCCAACATGATCTGGCTTTCATGGAGAAATATGCACAGGGCGGGGAAATAGCAACACAGAGTTCACTGCACTTTGAGTATTTCTCCTCAATCTCGACTCTCCCCATTAAGATTATTTTGACAGTCAATCCCAATTCAGAACTGACGGAGAATAAATCGCTTGTCACGTTGCTCACAAACCGAGCTTTCACTTGAGATTATATGAGAAAGGTACTAAGCCTTTTCTACTCTAATTTCTTTTCTGTTTTTTATACATTCTTTTTTCTGTACTCTCTCTCTCTTTTTTCATCTTAAAAGGTATAACCACAGTGCAAAATCTGGAGAATAAATTTTTTAAAAGAGAGGGAGAGTCTATTACTTTCCCATAACTACCAATAGTGTTTTGCTGTTCCTCTCTACTGCTGCTAAGAGGGGTGAGTTTTTAGTCTGAGAGTATTTTTTAAAGTTTTATATTATCATAATCATGCCACACACATGACATCTACATTTTTTTAACTCAAGAGTATATCATAAATGATTTTCCCATATTAGTGCATAAAGGTCTTCAACTTAGGACTGCCAAATATTCCATTAATGACTATTTCTAATGTGTTCAATATCAACCTATTAATAGACGATTAAGTTGTTGCCACTCTCTGAGAGGAAGCTATCTGTTTGCGTCATGAAGAGAAATGTCTTCAAGAATGGGCTGTCTAGGACCAGGAATTTTAATAATTAATTCTGAGGAAATATAATCACTAAATTGATACTGCTTATAACTTTATTTATTATAAATCAAATTGTACTTTTACATACAAAAAGTCGAGAGACCAATTCCTAACACTTGGAAATCTGTAGATTCCACATGCTGATTTGTTGTTGTTGTTTTTGTTTTTGCAGTTTTTGGCCAGGGCTGGGTTTGAACCTGCCACCTCCAGCATATGGGGTCGGCACCTTATTCCTTTGAGCCACAGGTGCCACCCTCCACATGCTGTTTTTGAGGTGATAAAAGGGTTTTGCAAATGCAGTCAAGGCTGACCAAATATATTCTTATGTGTAAGAGGTGCCCTGCAATCATTTAAAATTGCTTATTTTCTCAGATAAGACCTTAGTGATGGGGCGGCGCCTGTGGCTCAAAAGGGTAGGATGCCAGCCCCATATGCCAGAGGTGGTGAGTTCAAACCCAGCCCTGGCAAAAAAAAAAGACCTTAGTGATACAATTTGTAATTTTTATTGAACTTAGCTAAACTTTTATTCAGCTGTTCTCATTGCTTCAGTACAAATAGTACAGACCATACAGGGAATTCACAATAAAGTGGTCCCACACACACACTCTTGAGAGTATAATTCATGCCTAAAAGGGATATGAAGATTATGAAAAATCTGTTATACTTCTTTACAGATATTCGTTTTTTACCTTTGGAATCAGAAAATTCTATTAAGGTCCGAAAAAATAAAACATATTTATATTCATAATCTAAAAAAAAAAAAAAGAAAGAGCCTGCCTCCTCCGGGGGTTATCACCTCTGCTCTGGCCAGTGCCAGGCCTGCTGCTGAAGTTGGTTAGCTCCTCTGAGAACAGTCCATCCTCCACGTCACCAGCAGCTGCTTCTGAACTCACAGAGTATTGTCTGGTCCAATCCCATTTTCATTGCCAGTGACCAATATTGAGCTTCCAGACAGAGTCAGCACTAACACCAGGACCCCCAGACACTGTCCTACCCCATCTCCTCTCATATATCATCACCACAGAATATATAAAGCTTCCAAGCAGACAGAGAATGACGAACTGTGGTATCAAGGGGATCTCATCCCACTTCTGCACTATTTTCAGCATGGAATGCCAAACTCCTTATTGCCTCCTTGTTAGTTTAATTTTCTCAAACACATTGAAAACATATCATCATCGTGATTTTGATCTATTAAGTATTATCCAGGAAGCAACCCCAGCAAGATATAATTTAAGGTCAAAGAATGGGGGGCAGGACTAAGGAGAAGATGGAAGTAGGGGGTAGGGAGCCATCATCACTTGGACACATTCCAAAGTGGTTAATTACATTTTACCTGTCTAAATTATCTTGTTATTTTAATCAGATATGCTAATAATCATCATTTCTTATTTCTTCTCACTTCAGGACTCCTGATTCAATTACTACCACTTCTGTGTGAGTAATTGAGGGTTGGGGCAAAGAGTGGTTTCTCTTCACTTGTGCCTTCCTTAGAAGAAACCCCACTGGATAGAGAATCTCAAACTCACAGCAGAGAGGAAGGTGATGGAGAAGAAGGAATTGGTGATTCACAGAATGTTTATTTTCCAAAGGACGCTATGCAGAATTCCTTTAATCAGAAACACCCCCCCCCGCATATTTAAATGATTTAATTTTCTTTCATTTCATGTATACCTTCTTAGAATCATAATTGCTGCATTAAAATAAATCATATCTTTATTTGAAAAGAAATATTCAGATATCAACTATCAGGCACTGATTGATAGAAGTAGTTTTGTTCAGTGCTTCTTAAACTTGAATGTGCAGACAAATCCCCTGGGATCTTGTTTAAAAGCAGATCCTGATTCAGTAGGTCTGGGTGGTGCCTGAGAATCTGCGTTTCTGAAAAGTCCAGCCTCAGTCCCACCAACCACACTGTGAGGTAAGACTCCAGGTGAGTCCGGGCTCTCAGCCATTGCATGTGGGTGGTTTATAGCATAAGACCCTACAAAGAGGGTCTTGAGCCCTACTACCAAGAATTATGTCCTTAGAGCTCATCTTCCTCTCCCCATAACAGTTCAAGCCCACTTGTATTTTGGAAAGTACAGGAGAATCCGTCACCTGTACCTTTATTTGATCCTTTTAATTTATCTTGCTACACTTTGCTCTATTCTTATCTGAACAATTCCACTGTCTTTTAGCTTTTCTGTAGCAATCATTGTCTAGTCTTATAACAGCAAATGTTATCAATGAGATTATAGCTGTCAATCCTTCATCCTAGCACTACACAGGAAAAAATACCATCAAGAAAAATATTTCCACTATTTTCCTATGTGTTCACACTCAACTTCCCCCCCCCCTTAGTATTTCTGAGGTGACTCTAATCACTTGTGCAGCTGTGGGACTGTATTAGGTTTAGGGATTAATGTGCCTCTTGTGTGTGTCTCTCTCTCTGCCCCACCCCCTGAATTGATGTCTACATGTGGTCCTTCCAATTCCTATCAGAAGGTGGGCTCATTCATTCCACAGAGGCAGGGTTCTAGACAGTGGGGATTATTAGTGGTGAATAAAGCAATGCAATTATGCACTGACAGCTCTGGTCCACTGTGGGGCAAGGAAGCAGAACAAAATCCGTCCTTATGAGTGGGTTCTGGGTCATTTGAAACCTTGGATTTTTTTTCCTCCTTATAATCTTTCCCTCAGAAACTTCATCTCTTTACACCTCATCAAGCTGGATACTCCAAAATCTATATTCTCAAATACTTCCAGGCCTATATTTCAACCTGATTTTATGAACACCACATGGCAAAACCACACTACCCCTCCTCCCTCTCAAATCAACTCGCTTTCATTTTTCCAAATGTGCAATGA